CAGCACTTGAGGTGTAAGAACCACCATTTGGATTACAAAAAAAATGTGCAGGGTCATGTTGCCTTTGTATCTCCAAAAATCCTTTAAATAAGTTAAAAAAAATAAAATAGTTCTGAAGTGGCATTTTCAACAACAAATATATCTTCCTTCAAAAAGAAAAATGCATGTTGGAGTCTTGTTAACCTAGAATTACCTTCAATAATACTACCTGGCTGATACTTGGAAAAAGAATTGTATGCTTAACAACTTGCCTAGTTAGTGCTAAAATGATCTTTTAGTGTAATGAGTAGGTGTCAGTATTTTTCCATCTGCATTTTTAAAGTTAACTGTACTTTCAGTCTCCCTTTGAAAATATTCATAATTTGACTCAAAAACTTTAAATAAGGTGCATGTCTTTGAAAATATAAAATATCCAGATCTTGTTCCATAACTTACAAGTGCGAGAGTTGGACTGAAGGTTAACAAAACTAGAAATGTACTAGAATAAAGGAAATTAGATATAAGCTTGTAGATACTAAAATAAACTTAAACCACTTCACTTTATAAAGTGATAAAGCACATTATACTTCACATAAATGCAGAAGTTCAATGATACGTATTTTGCCTTGTGTTTGCATCTTAAGTAAACTTGGAAGGAAGGGGATATTTGGAAAAGCGATGGCAATTGAATATAAAATAAAGCAATTCTCCTATTTTAAAATAGGAAATACAGACCTCTAGTGGTCGAAATATATATTAAGAGTTAAACTTCAAAGTGATTTCAACGTTACTGTACGTAACTGTTACTTTCCTTTTCCCCACCCCCCCCAAATCATTCAAAATCACACACACTCCCAATTCCCACTGTTCAGTCTCTCTACAAGCATTGATTTTTCCCAGAGGAAAAAAATCTTTTCATATGTCCTTTTCTCATATAAATTTTATGACTGAAACTGAGTACAGGAGAAATATACTTGAGAAGTGAAGGGAAAATTAATGAGAGTAGTTTATGAAAAACATAGTAGAGATGTTCGTTCTTTTCTTATACGCTATGAAGACATCATACAGAAGTACAGGCTTTTTTGAAGAATGATGGAGTAAGTAAATACAGAGACGTTCTTACAGAGAAGACCAGAGTACAAAAAACAGTTTGCATTTACAAGGTAGCAATAACTGGTCCTCTGCTACCACAAAATAAATATTAAGCAATTTAGAGTCTTCATGTTATAAGAACCTAGAAAGATCACGGGCATTTACCAGCTATATGGAACTAGCACCAATGAAAGCAGACCAGCTTCATTTCTTTCAAGGGGAAGGCACAAAGAACCCACATATAGGTTAGAGAATTAAAAAAATAAATACTTGATATCACAAAAAAAAAACCAAACCACCACAACAAAATTAACAGCAATTTCAACAGCCAGGCAGCTGCTTCATGAAAGACTGACGAGAAAGACAGCTGGAAAAGCAACATTTAAACAAAAATGCTCAAGCCAGTACAAGGCCCTGCAAGTTCTGTTTGTTCTCATGTCAGACCACCTCCTGATCCAAAAATTGTAAAAGTAACAGCCAATTTGACAGTTACTGATACAGATCTTCTGAAGCTTGCTTTCTGTTCTTGGTGCTCATGAACTGATGTACAGACAGTGTTCCAGTCCTATGCTGTCTATTTCAGTTCCATTTCAGTAATATTTTGATTTAATGTCATGTACCATGAAGTCAGATGTTGATCTCAATGGAAAATAGTGGCAGTAATGACAGGAGGCGTATGCACACTGCAAGGCAACAATAGTTTGGATTATGTGCCTTTATTTGCTCATGTGTTTATATTACTCTCACCCTCCGCAATTCACTTATCACTCTGGACTAAAAATACTTAGGAAAGCCGTGAGTTGGGAATATGGACTGTTAGAAGAAGCAGCAGAAGTAAGAGCTAGGAGAAAGGTAAATTTGTGGCTTCAAGGTAGTACTGCTCAGGAGCTCCAGGAAAGCAGAGAGGATGCTGAAGCAGGCATATGAAATGGAGAAATTATACTCATTAAAGCAATGAGAATAAAGGAGGTTGTTCTGCTGGATGGGAAGAAAAAAAATGTCTGTTAAATAAAGCATGTAGCAAGTGTCATTAGTTCCTCATCAATTAGAAAAATAAGATAGAAAAAAATTATGAAAGGGAAGGGAATAAATTCTGAAGATAAAGGAAAAAAAGCTTATGCCACCAGAATGAATTAAACATAGCTGATATGTTGAACATATTGTTCCAAACATTTTTCAGCTTCTCTTCTCGCTGTGCAACAATTTTATACAAAAATAGAATGCATCATGCTCTTAAACGTGGGACTATCTTCTCATTTGTAAGAAAAGCAAATAAGCCACCTACTTTTTTCAGATGGAAAAAAAAAAACCTTGCCTTACCTAATGGTGAGGCAGCTGAACTGTGTCAGGGTCAGTCAGCCTGCGTGTGTTTAGTGTTTGTCAAAGCAAATACCAAAACCTCATTTTTATTTAAAGTCTGTCTGACTTGTGACACCTGCTTACCTATTTATAGCTGATGAAGTTCTCACAGAGAGCCACAGTCAGTGCTCTCTTCTCTTAGAGTGGGCAAAGTGCTGTTTACCTTGCATGGGCTCAGCATTCCTCGCTGTTTCCACAGACAGTTTAATTAGGATGCATGTTCATCCAACAGAAGCAATGAATGGAGTGGTAAACAATAGTTGGTAGAGCGGTCTGAAGTATTTAATTATCAGTAACTTACAATCATTGTAATTAAAAAAAGATAAAAGGTCAAACGGGACAGTGACATACAACAGGAGTTTGCTGTTCACCAGATAATTTGCCTTGAGATTGATGATGCCACACCATTCACAGTTGCATCAATTCAGTCATCATAGGAAAAGCTCCTTGTGTATCAGCCTTAAAATGATCCAATTATCATTATGTTAACTCAGGTAATTTGAGATGCTTTAAGTGGAATTATCAATGTGCACAATTTCAGTACTGCACTTAACTGGCCAGTGGTTTAACCTGCTCTTGTGAATGCTGGCAGCATAAAGCTGTCCCAGGCAGCCATCCCTCAAGGCAGCAGATCTACCTGAGGCTAGCTCTGAAACTTGAAAATTTTCAGCAACTTCAAAAGTTCAGTTTGGGATTAGCAGTGCTTTCCTACACTGCTTCAGGTGTAAGTCTCGTACAAGGTTCATTCTCGTAGCAACATTCAGGCTGTTTTCTGACAGACATATGGCAATCCAAATCTGTTTACCCAAAAGCAACCACATTATGAATTTCTGCTTCCTTTTCATTTACTGAAAATAGTGATGGATTTCTTTACTTATTACTTGTAATTCCTTAATATAATTTAAAACTGGTAACATACCAAACATATCCTTCCACAATTCTACTGCCTTCAGCGTTACAACAAAACCTTTAACTCCAGACAGCTTACAGACTTTAAACAGGTAAATTGAAATATTATACTATATCTTGACCAAATTCCTGATTTTTCATGGGAATTGTTCTGCCTTTTTTACTTGCCAGGCATTCCAAAATAAGTTCAGGGAATTCAGTACCTTAGAGTGCCAGACACAAGTTTACCAACTGAATTATTTTTTATTTTAACATGTTTCTGAAAATGTAATATAATCATTATTATACTTTCTTGAAAGTACATGTGCTGTTAATTACATCAACTATAGCTACTACTGATACCTTGAGACGTGAGATTGATACTACTAATACTAATACTACTACAATCCGTTTGGAATAAGGTTTATCTCCCAACAAGAGCATGTCAGACTCTTAACAGAAGAGCATTCTGCACTGAGCAGGAACATCAGAGCTGAACAAGGCACATAATGAGCAGCCACCTCTGTAACAACTTAACCTGTATTTCTATAATAACAAGCAGTTTGTTTCTGAATGCACCTGTACTCCCCAGAGTCTTACTGTGTGTGTATTTATCTATATAAAGTGACTCTCATATTTATAAGGGTTTTGATTGTTTGGGGGTTTTTTTTTGGTTGGGTGGGTTGTTTGGTTTGTTTCGGGTTTGTTTTGTTTATAAAGCAACTATATTTAACTTAATCTGTATTTGAGGCAGCATAATTGGGTTTGACTGACAGCTGTCAGGATCCTGCATCTCTACATTAATAGCTATCAATTTTTTATTTTTTCTTTGTCAGTATCATATATTTTTTATCAGTAAGTGAAAAGGTAGAATGAACCATTATTCCCCCTTGCACCTTTCTTAAACTCCTTCTACAGTTATGAATATGTAACAAATCAGCAAGTTTGGATTTTTAGATTTTTTTTTCCTCATTGGTAGTTACATACCATAGTTCCAAGCCAGATGAGGAGCTAGGTAACTTCCAAATGGTTAAGGTATTTATGGTACAACAGAACACCAGATTGTGTGTCTTCCTATTGCTCTGCAAGCAAAAATTGACTCAAAGAATTAAGCTTAACGTATAGAAAAAAAAATCCTAGTGATTCACATCAGAGTTCAAAATGAGTACCTAGTCTGAACTCACTTGTTTTTTTAATGCATTACACTGTATTTACAGAGTGAACTAGTATTCAGAGTGCCTAAGAGCAGTTTCTGAGATATCTGAATAACTTTGCTAATTAAGTATCACCCATTCATGGAAAGAAAATAACCTAAAGACCCTCCAGAATTTATACTTATCTGCTATTTTGAGTCTCTATTACTATTTTTATGGCATATGTTCAATAACCAGTCTTATGTTAAATTGAAACTTTGCTAATTGAAAGAACCTTGTTAGATTTTATTGATGTAAAAAAAAAATATAACAATGTTTAGCCAACATTCTTATGTTCTTACCTCTGCTACGTTCTGCAACCAAAGCCTATATTTAAATAGAAATCAGTTAAGAAAATGCTTGAAGATGGCTTTTTTTTTTAAATACTAAGACATTGACACATTGTGTTAGACAAAAACTGGACATTTAATTTAAAATTTAGAAAAATTAAATCCTTGTCATGAATTTCTTCCTCTTTTCCCTTCCTAGGTGTGAACTTCGGTGTTCTCCCTGAAACTAGGTTACAGCTGAAGAGATCAAGATGATTCCAAATCACTCTGCTGAAGAAACTGTTAAAAGAATCCACGTTGATTGTCCTGTTTCAGGAAGGCACAGTTACATCTACATAATGGTTCCAACTGTTTACAGCATCATATTTATCATAGGCATATTTGGGAACAGCCTGGTCGTTATTGTCATTTACTGCTACATGAAATTAAAAACAGTAGCCAGTATCTTTCTTCTAAACCTGGCACTAGCTGACTTGTGTTTTTTAATAACTCTGCCACTCTGGGCAGCCTACACGGCCATGGAGTACCAGTGGCCTTTTGGCAACTGTTTGTGTAAGTTAGCGTCAGCGGGGATAAGTTTCAACCTGTACGCCAGCGTGTTCCTCCTCACATGCCTCAGCATCGACCGCTACCTGGCCATAGTGCATCCAGTGAAGTCCCGAATCCGACGGACCATGTTTGTGGCCAGGATGACTTGTATTGCCATCTGGCTTCTGGCTGGCGTGGCCAGCTTGCCCGTCATCATTCACCGCAATATATTCTTTGCTGAGAACCTGAACATGACGGTCTGCGGCTTTCGATACGACAACAATAACACAACGCTCCGAGTCGGGTTAGGTTTATCCAAAAATTTGCTGGGCTTTTTAATTCCTTTTCTGATCATACTAACAAGCTACACCTTAATTTGGAAGACCCTGAAGAAGGCGTATCAAATTCAAAAAAATAAGACTAGAAATGATGATATTTTTAAGATGATTGTGGCAATAGTGTTTTTCTTCTTCTTTTCCTGGATTCCTCATCAAGTATTCACTTTTTTGGACGTATTAATTCAATTACACGTAATAACAGACTGCAAAATCACTGATATTGTGGATACGGCTATGCCCTTCACCATTTGCATCGCTTACTTTAACAACTGTTTGAATCCCTTTTTTTATGTTTTTTTTGGAAAAAACTTTAAAAAATACTTCCTTCAGCTAATAAAATACATTCCTCCAAATGTCAGCCAACATCCAAGCCTAACAACAAAAATGAGTTCCCTCTCATATCGGCCACCAGAGAATATACGCCTGCACACTAAAAAGGCTGCTGCGTCTTTTGATGCTGAGTGATGCATTTTGCAATATACTTCTTTTTTTAACAACCTTGTGAAGGATGCAGCAAGAATGACAAAATTCATCTGCAGTCGTGAACATCACAGCTTACTGCTCGTTACAGAAGCATTGGATCACCTCATGAGAAACCATACTGTAAAGACTTAGCAGTGGCCTTTTACTTTACATTGTGAAGAGGACTGCTGGGTTTCATTTTGTTTTTCTTTACTGAAAGCAACATAAATGGTGGACAGGCATGTCAGAGCTTCTGTCAGCATCCTGCCCTTTACTCAGTACTACAAAAGAAGGGTAGAGAAACCTCTTAAGTTCAGAGGTCTTTTTAAAGGAAAAGCTTGTATAAGCTACATGAATTATGAAGGACCTGTGTTGCACATACACGAGCTATTTCAAATTTTGTTCAAGGAGTTGATGGAGCTACACTGCTTGTTTGGGGGGGGGTTAATGACAAGTCATATCATATTTATAATATATTTTCAAATATATGCTATATAGAGAGGCCCAATTTTAAACTCAAATGGAAACTTAAGGTCCTTGAAATTGGTCTCATTCTGATTTATGCTATATTTCATTTTTTAAATGGCAATTTTTTTAATAATATATGCAATAAAATGCAGATTTATTTATTAAATATAGAATAAACATATTTTCAGATCTATATTCCTACTTATACATTTCAAATATTGCTTCATAAATGTACATTTATATCCCAATGGGTACTTTTATAGTCATTTAAAAATAATAAGTGTGTATACACACACTCAAATATGACTCAACCTTTCCCATGATATTCCACACTGACTTTGAAGACCATTACTGGGGAAAGGGGTTGACTCCATACTCTTATGTCTTAGAGTAAAATGTGGTATTTGAAAACAGGAGTCCTGGGACAGAGATGATCAGAGAACTTCAAACTAGTTTTGTGTAATAACCAATGCACTCAATGAGAGAAATTACCAGCTAATCAAATAGACTCGATTTTTCAAATTCCTGGACATTTAACGAGCAGTCTGATAAGCAAAAATGTGGCAATATTACAGTTTAACTAATAAAGCTTTTAGTCTGTATCAGGTTAACCCACCACATAGTCACATCACAAAACAGCTGAGACTAAACTTTACTCTTGGCTTTTGCAGACTATTTAAGCCCAAGCCTAGAATATTTGCTCCCTGTAGAACCTTTTTTAAAGGGTATGGAATGAATTAAAATATATAGTAGCATAAATCAGAACAAAAATCTGGTTCAGACTGTTCATACAAATAGGGGGGGAAAGGTGATAAGCACTGTAGGAAGTTTCAGCTTAGGATTTCCTTACATGTCCTTTTTACCTCAAATAATGAACTCCAGAAAATATGTATTCTTGATTCACACTCACTTATTGCCCCTTTTAATGACTCTTGAGAATTTGCAATATTTATAATCTTCAAAATTGGACGTCTAATGTGGCTTTATCTCAGGTAGCAAGTGGTTGGATTATCCGTATTTTCTGATTATCAGTCTCTTGTATATACACACATAATTTAAATTGTTTTTTACTTTAGGAAATTATTTTAAACCCAAAACACCACAAAAAAAAAAAAAAAGACTTATGTCTGCAGTTTAATACTTTTTAAGAAAAAAAATGAGACTACAGTCAGACTGCTCTTTCATTCATTTACTTGAAGTCAAGTTTCTTCAGGTTTGCTTTTATTCTTCCAGCTGCAAAGTGGGAACAATCTCTGCTATCTGTCACAAGGCACTGTGAGGATTCACTAAAACTTTTAAAGCCATAATTTAAAAAAGTGCTGTTTCACTGAAAGTTTAAGTTAATTTAATTGCAAGCTAGTATCTCAGAATATGAAACCTGAATGTGTCATTTAAAGACACAATTATTATATAGAAAGCTTTATATTTAGCTTTCATCTATCTTTACACGTGAGACAGCTGTTCATTAAAAATGAATATGACAATAATCTCATGCATTATAAATAGCATCCAGAACAGCACCACTGTCTCCGCACTCGGGAAGCTGACAAAGGTCTGGTGGAGCTTACCATTTATCTGTGTGGGATTTTGTTTGTCTGCACATGTGCACACTTTGAGCAGCATCGGGAGCTTCCCCTGGCAGGAGCAGCTCTGACTCAGTTAACTCGGTGCGCTGTGCTTGCCACCTGCTGGATACAGCAACAAATTTGTTTTTCATCTCAGAATTATGGGAAGAGAGAAAAATGTTTCCTTGCCTGCTGGTGGATCTGAAGATCCTTACCTGTGGCAAAATTCCTATGGAAATGAAATACAAACTTGTCCATCTGGGAGGCAGTTAGCTTCCTTGACAGTGGCTACGCCTCATCACCTGCTGATCCCTTGGGTCACTAAAATCCAGTGTCCCCAACAAAAATAATAGGTAGCTTATGTGCAAAATGTTGATTGCATTATTTCAAGAGCCATCCCATCCCAAAGAGAAGAAATACATATATGGATAAAAACAAAAATCAAAGCACATTAGTGCAAGTGGTAACTAAGTATTTAGCTGAAAGGACTTCTGTCACCAAGAAGAAAAAGCAGCAGAATCAAGTAGTGACGGTGAACAATATAAATGTCTTCATTACAGCAGGAAACAGAAGAGAAGCTATTGGTTAGTGATTTTGATCATTTCACACCAGATCCTGCTTTTTTAAGAGCCTGTGTATCCTAGGCTGTGGTACCACCTGTGCCTACCTGCATGATGGGAAGAAAGCATGAGCGTGCATATTCAGCTGGGTTGCTGCAGGAAAGGTAGGATTGGGTTGCAGCTGGTGTGCTTTGAAAGCCAGGCTGACCTTGAATTGATAGGCAACAGAAGTGCAAAGCTGCTGTTAAATATTACCGGGAAATTTTTGTTTTCCTGTAGAGTAGGAAAAAGTTCACCAGCTGCTAAATATAGTGAAGTCCTCATTTGGCATATCCTTAAAAAAAGAAGCAAATCAATAGATGCTGTAAAGTATCCAGAGTTAAAGGTTTTCAGCAGCTCTGACTGGGCAGCAGCAGAGACCAAACTTTTGGAGCAGAGTTACCGTGTCCAGCCACGTCCTGCATTTTCCGGCATCCCCCCAGAGGCCCAAACGGCTGGCTGGCTGAAGAGGGCCCATTGCCCTCAGCATAGCCCCAGCACTTCACCATGCATCTAGCTGCACCCAGCGCGGGTGCCGAGAAACGCATTGCTGCTGACCCTTACGCTCCCCTGGCCACCTACTTGCCGAAAATACCATGCTGGAGATCTGTGCCCAGGGCATGCAGAGCAGCAGCACAGCAGAGTGCAGGAGATGGCCTTTGTCAGGCACCCTGGGCTGTACATCCCCCAAAGAGGGGCAGGCAGGAGATGGCCAGAGTGTCCTTTCATGCAAGAACCTACTCCTTGGCAACAGAGGAGGAGAGACTAAGATTTAACTCTGTATTATTTTGCCATCTTTGGGGAACTTTGGGTTCATACTGTTAACTTAGTATCAAAGTGAGAACTAGCTACATAAGTTTAAGAACAAACTCCCCCTATCTCAAAGAACACAAAGTTAATTAAAATGCAATAGTATACTGTTACTTTTAGAAGGAGCATCCAAAGTGCCTTCCATTCCAGGATGACCAGTGTGAAATACTTGACACACTCATGTCTGTCCCCATGCTCTGCTGTTGGGAGGAACTCAGGCCAGTATTAATGGGGACCACACATAACCCTAAATAGAGACATCACAACTTCTCTTCTGGCAGTTACATTCTGTTGGCTTGCTCGAATGAATACATTCTTTTTGCTGTCAGAATAATTACTAAATCACACTATGTTTGACATGCATGCATAATAGTTATTTCTATTTGTTGTGTGATAGCACTTTATATGACTTATGTTTAATGTTCTGCTCTCTTCTTGCTTGCCTATCATATGCCTCTCCTGAATCATGCTATATAATCTGCACCGCTTAACCCAAATTCCTGCAAAACCATTACCGATACAGTGGGGATTAATTCGGCTTCTCAGTTTAACAATTTCCTCATGTTTACATTGTTAAGAGGCTGCAGAGTAGGTATGAGGCCAAAAGTCCTTTATCAGGATTACTATCTAAGTGATGGTTTTCATCATCTACTTGAAACCATGACAGTAGCAGAGAATATAGTAGGATTTCCAGGTTTGCTTTAGTTTTGCTTGCATGGCTGCAGCAATGATTTAGCTTATTGACCTCCTTTTTAAGTATATTGAAGTGCAAGTATTTCCAAGGAGAAGTGTGCCATGGAAAGAAGAAACAAATACATGGGAGGGGGGAGGAGGAAGGCCTAAAGCAGGGACTTCCCAATTTTGGAAACATTTAGTGTTCAATGTAAATACTTGGGTTTTGCAACAGGTTAAAAAAAAGACAACAGAACAAACCAACCACAACAAAACCTAAGAGTAAATCCTTCAGCTAAGTAGTAAAATGTTCCAGAAAGTTTTGAGGGGCTCTTTTAAGTTTCATAATAATGTCCTGCTCAGTTTGGAACATATCAAACCATCCTTACGCCGCTCACAAGGTCAGGGTCTCCAGCTCTGCTCTTCTACATCACGTTACAGGCTTGGCCCCACCATCATCCCACCAGCTTGGGCAAGGTGATGAGGCTGTTCTATCAATCATAGAGTCCATTCCAACAGTGACCTCTCTACCAAGGCTGAACTAACAAATCCTCAATGTTAATGTCAGAGCTGTCAAGCTCATTGTCAGTGGTGAGTTTTGCAGATGTGTTGAGATACTCAGAAAATAGGTACAGATTATGTCAGAGAACACCATTGTGCAACCTTTTTAGTGTACCAGTGCCATGGCCTGCAGCTTTAAAAGTACTGGAAAATTAAGTAACAAGAACTAGATATTATTTTTTTGTAAATATTTTTGTGCAGTCATAATTTGTGAAGTGGTGGATGTTAATATTTTCTGTTTCAACAGAGATAGTTTTATATTGTAGAAGTTCACTACTATTACGTAAGAACTTTTATCGCCTGAAGTATTTCTAAAAACCTACATGTCATCAATAGATGTTTTTGTGAAAGCCATCTCCACTGCTGTGTTAATCCACCCAAAGCAAAGAGGTATGTTTGTCTAAGTACTACACTATTATCAGTATATCTGTAGCTAGATATATACCTTAATAACCTTACCAAAGTATTTCTATTTAATGCTGTAATATTTTATACCACCCTTCCTCATGCTTTTAATCCAAAGTCTCAACTCCCCCTAAACCCCTGAGATGAGCAGGCTGTGGCTGCAATTCATAGTGGAAAGGATATCCAGCTAGC